TTCAATTCAGATTTAGGATTTTCATCAGGAGAAAAATATATCTTTTACATACAAAACAACATGTGTCAATAAAGAACTAATAACTTCGAATGCCAAAATACTATCTAAATAAATGGTAATATCTAGAAAAAATCTAAAAATTAAAAACTATAAAAAATAAAATAAGAATACAATTACCATTGATTAATTTATAAGACCAATATTATATAAGGAAAATAATTTTTAATTGACAAGCGATAAATGTGTATAGATAAAACATATGAAAACAAATTCCATAGGACTATTTAAAAAGAGTGTACAATATTGAATGCAAATGTAAACTTAAGTGGTGCTACAACACCACATACTTTCTCTCGCTTCATGTCATACTTTTGTAAGTTATGTAATAATATAATATTCTTCTATAGCTCCTAAACTTCTACATTTCTCATCATTCAGTCGCCATTTGAAAACTCCTAATTAAAAAAAGGGAGGATTTCGAAAAAAAATTAAATTTTAATTTTTTGTTATGTAAAGCCGACCCAAAAATATAAATGGTAGTTTATAATACAATGCGGAGGTGACGGCGACGGCAGCGGTTTCCGTTTATATTCGCGCTTTTATTTTGCAAATTTCACAGTAACACTCTCAATACCGCGCTGAGTACAGCAAAAGCAAATAGAATTATTGAAAACTATACTTCTCATTATTATTAAATATATTGTTATAAATTCCTCAAAAATACTCGTTTCAACTTGTAACGCAATTAATGAACATTTTTGTTCACGGTTATTTTGTGAAATGTTATATTCTTTGATGTTGCACCACTTTCACTTTCATCAAGACCTGTACGCTCATTGTTTATCAACACACGATCTGACAATTCCGCAATATTTTAGGGGTCATGTTGTTTATTCGGCCACTGCCATTTTCATCAGCAGAATAATTATAGGACTCAAACCCAGGAGCAGGTAGTTGAAAAAAATATGATGGGCTTCCTGTTCTTTATCTTCCTCCAGTCCGATTTCGTGCAAAGCCGCTGCGAAATATAACCTTTAAATTTCAGATTTTCCTAGCATAAGATAAATGTTACTTATAGAAGTAAGCTTGCCTAACTTATCTTCTTGACATTAGCCCGGAAAAATACTATTCTGAACAGCAAAATGTATCCTACACAAAGGCTGTGGGTCACGGTTTGCACAAGTATATTACAATAAACTGTCAAACTTTTTGATGACATGAAACATTACAGCACATTTAAAAATTTTCTGCCATATGCCAATTTCCGCATAATTCAATACATCTTCATTATATCAAATTCAGTTATCTATGAAATATGTGTCATTGAATAACGAAATATCAAGGTTGACGATGATAACAAGCAAAATGAAAATTATCTTAATTACCACTATAATTAAATGTATCGAATAGTATGTCACGTAATACAGATTTGGTTACGGACCCAACTAAATCGACAAAATCTTTCTGAAAAATGGATCCAATTTTTACTTTCTTGACTTGCTTCGTAAAAGGAGAATAGATATTTATGAAACGAGAAGTAAATGTGATACTTTATTTTGCGAGAAGGAAATATTACAACCTGAGGCTAATAAGCCGAGCGAAATTCTGCGAGCAAAATAAAATTGCTTTTACCACGTGTGACATACAACTAGTATTTAGGTAGCCGTACTGGTTTTCCTTTTATTTTAATTCAAGTATACTAATCACTTAATTGGCTACTATGTTGCATTAAGATTAATAGTAGCAGATGCGGTTAGTCAAACATATTTTGTTTTCTTTTATACTTTCGTAGTTTGATCTCAACTTTTAAGTATCGTCTCACTTTTAGCATTAGTACTAAAAATTGAACTTTCAGCACACTGTGCATGTTCTAAAAATAACCGCGTTTACTAATGGCTGTTTAAAAAGGCAATTGCAATCGTGCGCCGGAAAACCGCGATTTTTCAAAAAAAACCTCTTATTTCCGGCTCTCGCAATGAAAAAGGGCAAAAATCTTGTTCCTTTATGTAGTAAATTACTTCCTCAAACACATTGTCTAGCCAGAATCCATATTTTGTGGGTCCTTGATCCGGAAAAATCGATTGTCGGCAATACGTCTGTCCGTTGGCTCTCCGTCAGTCCGTCTGTGTACAACGCTAGAGGTTAAACCGTTCTGACAATTTTCTCCAAAACTGATGTATTTCAATCGATCTAAACGAACTCCAGACCCTGCGAGTTTGAAACAGGTATTTTGATTTTAAGGGGTAGTTTACAAGAAGTGTCAATTAGATTTTCAAAATGTTCTCAAAAATATTTCAATTTTTTAAAATTAAAGCAAAGGCGCAGATCTTGTTTTCTTTGAATCCCCTGACTTTTGAAAATTTCTTAAGTTCAAACTTTTTTCGACATCTTACTGGAATTTGAAGATTTCCAGTTGGCAAACACGCTTCTAATTTCCGAACGCTTTAAAGTTTTAAACCCTGGGAGTCATATCAGAAAGAGGATATCTGCCTCTTACGAAATGTATTTACGCAAAATTGTGTGGAAACCGTGTACATACGCAATTGCCATAATTGGACTTTTAATATATTTGATAAAGTTGTTGTTTGTAACCATCACAATTCGTGGTTTGAACTTGGCGCAAGCAAGCCTGGACATACTTTATATTATACAACAGATAGCAAATTTACTTGATGGTTAGGTCCATAATTTAAAATTTGGTCAACATTCCTTTAAAAAACGAAAAGGTAAAAATGAGTCGAAGTCAGTCTGTGTTTCAACATTACATTATGTTTGAAAGATTTATTTTATATTCATTATTGCACACTGTTTGTAATTATTCTCATGGAGTCTGTTCAGCTATATTTAATCTTACATCCTTAGTTTCTTTTGTCTGTCACCAAACCAATTTCTTATTCATTATTTTCTTGGAAATTAACTAAAGGTATTTTTATTCGTATTTTTATATATTTGAACAAATAGGTATATTTTTAGATTCTTGTTCTCTTAGTAGATATTGCTATAATTATTGCAAGTATTTTGTTATTAGCACTTATTTGTCGTTACTAAATAGTAGTAGATTTTATGAAATATGTATCATAATACAGATTACCTTCCATGTGATGAAAACCCCAATTTTGGATTGAAACGTTGAGAAAAATGAAACTTATTTTTCTCTTGAATTTTTATGATTTTACAGCATTTTAACAGACGTCAGTCATAACATGACTCTAGTAGAAATGCTTAACTATTATCAGGCTAACTACCCTAGTAAACATTTTGATCGTGAAACCTTAGCGTTCTAGTCAGGGAACACTGTTTTCCGTCTAGAATTGTTAAGGAGATAATAGTTTCTCGACTAGATTTGTGAAAAAAGGCAAAACCGTTCCTTTTACATGAGTGTAATGCTGACAGTGATAATATACTGATCGGGATATCCAATGAGGAAATATTTGCGCAGAGTTTTCAACAAGGATTTATTTTAGTTCCTCTTTCAAGACATTTCAAAAATAATGACTTACCTTTCTTGAGTTACCATTCAAGAACCCCCATTCATATCTGGCTAAATTTATCTTTTTTCCTATTAAAGCCTTCCTATCAGAATCACTAGCTTTATCGGTTACCTTTCAAGGAATTGCGATCAGAATTACTAATTTAAGTAAGCTACATTTCAACAAATTCGGATCAGATCTGTTAACGTTGCATTGTTTTAGTCGATTTCTTTTTCAAGAAATTCTAATTAGAACTAATGAGTTTTAATGAACATGTCTTTTGAAGATTTCTGAGCAAATCTGATTAGTGTTGTACATAAAAATCTGGGCTTTTTTTAAATGTGATCAATGCTACTAATTTGTACTTTCCCAAACATGTCACTTCAACCATTTATGATTCTCATTGAACTGGAAAGAAAAATAAATTCACGTACACTAGAGTCAGTATTTATATTTGGGCGCTGACGATACATAACTCACTCAGCCAAATCCTACGATACTGTGTAACAAATCTGCTGTGCATTCTATAACAATGAATGTGTCTGGTTCGATATTTTTACCCTGAAATAGTTATATTCCTGCGATTGTTTTATTTTTCTCGATTCTTTAATTTGCTTATTCGGCGACCTTCATCAAATTAACTTTGCTATGTAGAACTGATCGAAATTTCCTTGGATCCCTACAAGTATGAATCTTCCCATCTGCCCAACTGTAACCTTTCCAGAACTTTTTAGTTTTATCATATGGAACACCTACGAAACATCTCAGTTGTCTAAAGCAGGGCATATTTTCCACATGCCAACTCTATGGGGTTTATATACCATGACTTTTCCACTAATCGAATTTTCCCTTCACCAACCCTGTGGAACTCGCCTATTGTGACCCACCCAAAACCTATTGTGACGTATACGGTTATTCCTTATAATTTTCGACATGACCCAGCTACAAACTAGGAATTCTCGACCAAGATTCTATCGGGTATTTAGAATTACAAAACAAAGAGTTTCTCAATTTTCTTTCACTTGATAATATTCCACGCAAACAACAATTAAGAGAGCCTTTCAGCTATCATTGGCTCAATTTGTGATTTTTTTGTGATAATTTCAATGAAGAAACTCTCGTAACTTATTAAGTGCTCAAATTTTCTTTTTAATTTCTGTACCTTGGTTAATTATTCTATTAGTGTCAAAGAAAACGAAAAAAATGTTAAACTTTCCATGAAACAACGTATAATTTCTTGACCAGAAACAATTGACATTATCTTCCGGTCTGTAGCACCGAGGTCTTTTGAGAATACGTTTTTCGGACGTCTCGCCTGCGGTAGATCATCATTACATTCACACAACAGTCACCATGACGCAAATTTTACACCTAACATGCATTAAGGAGAAAGAATCTATAAACGAATTAAGAGAAAAAATCAACTCTGTAATAAAATCACATTCACTGTGCGACAAACCCATGCGTCATGGGCCATGGCGCGTTATGGAGCATTACGAGTGAGAATAGAGAGGCTGAGGAAAAACTTACCCATACTGATTGGGCAGAATGGCAGGATAACCAGCACGGATACCCGGAAACGGGAAACCTGTAACCGAAAAAATACAAGGTGATAATAAAACACTACTCTTACATTCAAATTGAGGTATATTCATACGTATTCTTATCTACTAGTGTATTACTAATTTCCAATGCGCACAGAATCGAAAGAAAACTATGCATTCTGCGATCAAGTGAGAGGTGTCAGTGGTTTCGTTAGATAACTAGAAACTTAGGGAATAAAAAAAAAGAGTGGCGCCACAACAGTACGACTTTCTTGCATTGATAACGGTTATGTAATATTCCGCAATTTCTGTCCATATTAACACATCTCAGCCCATCACTTATAAAACTCATTACCAATCTTAGCCCGATAGGTTTGGAAATTTATTCTTTTAAAGTTATTGTTCAACACAAATTCGACAATTCAAAACTTCCTTTCTTAACCCAGAAACATTGCCCAACACTGAGATGTTATTCTAAGAACTTCAAACGGTCGTGTTGCGGCGTTGCTATAGTCATAGTATTTCGTGACCGTCATCGGCAAAAGGAGCGCGGGAATTCCGAAATTGCAATTTCAATGATTCACAAAAATTACACACAATTACTCACATTTCAAAATGTATATGACTTTATTTTAAGATGAAATTATTAAGAACAGATTTCATTAAGTGGAAAAATCCACAGTCTTTCATAATGTACTTTTGCAATGTTAATATTTTATAATTTTCTAAAATACGGAGACCAATTGTTTATCAGTATGTGGTACAAACGAGGGAAGAATGAATGAAAAAAGTCATTTTCGAGAAAATAGTTGTCTAAAAATTGTCTATTTCACACAAAATTAGTCGAAAAATTTTCGAAAAATTGTACGTGAGCTGAATTTAAGATCACCGACTGATTTAAATAGGAGAAAACATGTCCATCTTCAATATTCTAATTGTAGTAAGACTCCCAAAAAGATTCTCAACTTTTGAAATTTTCAAAAAGTAAAAACACTAAACTAAATGAGACTACTTTTCTTTATTTTTTAGCTTTAAAAACGCTACTAGAAAACAAAGCAAAAAAAGGAACCATTTTGAAACAAATTTGACTCTATTATGAATGAAGAGGTCAACGTGTTTCCTTGTGTGATATGATAATGAACAGCGTTTGTACAGAATCACTGTATCATCGATATGACCGTTACATGTATATTCCTATTTAAATGCAGGGTCTCTTCAAGATCAAAAGCTGGAAGAAGAGAGAGACACTGTTCTCCAATAATATTAAGTATCAAAAATGTAAATTTTATCGAAAATTCCTATTGGATGACAGAATCCCCCCTCTGATTCCAACTTGTGACTTAAAAGGGACAAGGCAGGATAATTTCAGGCGGAAAGAAATTCAACGCAGTCTTCTCATCGATTATAGGAATTATTGAATCTAATAACATTATGCTGAGAAACGGTCTGCTACTGTACAGCATTTCTTGACGATTTTTCTCTTCTATAACATCCAAAAAGATGTCTTTATTATGTGGAAGCTCTAAAGATATTTCTAAACATTACAGAACAATTCTAGTTTTCGGGTGCAAAGGAAGAACAACGCATCAGGTAGAAATGGTGGCCGTCGTGTTTAACGCAAGGCGCTGCGATCGCCTCAACTGTAAGTCGTGAGCACTTTACCCGACAGTCGGTATTCAGATTTGTAGTGCACTTGCAGTTTACAAATGACGCAGGTGACCTCCCGAATCTATAATTAGCTTCGAGTACTGGACATGCGCACGCAGTTTCGACGATAGTCTGCAATGGAAAATAAATCCATAAAATCACTTTCTCGGTGATTCTATGCTGCTGGTACTACAGCGGTATTAATTATTGCTAATATTATTTGAAATTGTCAATATAATTAATAGCATTTGCGTGGAGAATTTGTTAATCAAGAAATTTCCAAGTCAGTAAGGTTCTATGTGGACTATAATGCAATGTGCCGAGTGAGTGCTTTCATGAGTGTGTTTCTATAGAGCGCGTGCCCGAAGTCACATGCCATTGCAGTAGCTTCCCTAGTGCAGAGACAATGGCAGCCCCTCCGCCAGCTGGCAAGGCCCCTGGACGGCCAGTGCGCGGCGCGGGGGAGGGGGCCATCGAACAAGTGCTGCCGCCCCTGACTTTTCCCTCGGGCGCTTCGTATGCTCCTTCTACTCGTATCTTGCGCGTCAATACACATATATTTCATGGGCGGCTTTTCTAAGCAATTGTTTAACGATTGATAATGATATGGAATACATAACGCGAAACGGTCTTTCTCGTAGTTTGTATCTTTTATGTAAAACGATTTAATGGAATATTTGGAATGATTTAATGGATTATCTACTATCAAATATTACAGTTAGTGTCTAATGCAAGTTTCATGAAACGGCTAGAAATCCAGCAAATATGTCTATTAATAAGTATCTTCTAAAATCAACTTTATAATTAAAATCCCCCTTACTTTACACAAAAATGTTCTTAGAAAAATTGAATATATTCCAGGGTTTGTTGCTATTGAAACTGTGATCAAAAGTTTCTTTATCGTTGGTCTTTTAACGTTGACATCGATGTTCGGGAATTTTCTTTTAATTTCAATTTTAAAATTTTAATTTAAATTTTAAAATAAATAATTTAGAAATGGAGAATGTCAAAAATAGACATTTGAAAAATGTCAGATTTTAAGAATATGAATAATATTTAATATTTTTAATTCTAGTATTAGGACCATTTACGCAAATGTTTATGTTAAGGCTAGGTCAGAGCTGTCTCCATTCTGGAGCTGTAGCAAGGGCAGAGCTTTTGCCCTCTCGAACTCTACGCATCTCAACCCCACAGTTTCCCTAATCACGGCTTCGTATCGCTATTTCCGTTCCGTGCTTCAGAGCAGGGGTTTTCTCTGGCTGAAACCAATATGTACAAGATCCAAACTCTGCTGTAGAAAGAAATCGCCATCGTCGAGGAGCAAATTATTTTATTGGTATTTTTAAGGCGTGCCCCGCCCCACGGGCGAGCGGCCTTCGCCGCCTGGCG